TGACCCGAGAGGTTCCCAGGTCTGCTTCCAGCTCCTCCATTAAGAAGCCAGGCAGCTTGAAGTAAGGACAGGGCTTCGGGAAGGTAGAGACCCCTAATAGCCTGGAGCAGTGTTTTGTCAATGATTGTAAGTGTCTAATCTTTGTTGAATCCTGCCCCCTTGGGGCATTGTAGTGGCCACTATACCCTCTGACTTATGCCTGTTATGTTCCCAGTATCAAAAAGTATATGGTTAAGTCCCCATTGGTGGTCTGGCTGTGCTCTATAGGGGGAGGAGAGTCCCTACACCTCCCACAGCGCTTGTGCACCTGCTTTGATCCCTTCAATTGGAGAGGGGGTACCTCTTGGAGTAAAGCCCGGGTTACATATGAAAGGTCAAGTTAGTTTCCTGTGTGAAATCACAAGCCCTTCAATTTATACAGACGTATCTTATTGGAAATGAGACAGCAAATCATTCTGATGCAATTCAGTGAAGTCTGAGTCAATCTGTTGAAACTGTTTTCTCCTACATGTCTATTTTCGGGCATTCATCACATGCTGTGATGATAGCTGGTGCCATATTCACACCCTTGAGGCCATGTTCTGTTTATTGACGTGTCTGATACTCTTAGCCACTGAAGAGCTGACAGAAATCCTAGTCCAGTGGTTTTGTGGTGATCAGGTTCCATATATTGCTAAAGATTTCAGTCGAGTGTCCTCATGACTTAAAGGAGCTACTGTAGCTTCAAGACTACAGGGGTGCATCCAGATGAGTGCGTGCATGCATTTCCCTGGGGACAAATAGCAGCGGCACATAGTTGTGTGCAGCAAGTTGCCCTGAGTGGGGTATGGGAATATGGGGCCAACACCTGGGCTGGCCCCAGCAGCCTTACCTGGGTCCTGGGGGCCTCCCAGGGCTCCAGCAGCAGCGATCTGGGCATGCGGAGCCTGGCTGGCAGCTGGAGCATGGCGGGAGTACACTGCTGCCACATGTGCCATCCTGCTTTTTTCTGCCACAGGTGTTTTTTGGCACCGGGTTCTTCTGGTGTCAAAAAAACCCTCCATACTGCAAATTGGCAGCACGGCAAATCCCTGCATGTGTGGCGTGTCTAGTTTGCAGCACCATAGACAGGACGGCAGAGCCACAAATTGCACGTGCACGCTCATCTGGATGCACCCCAGGAGGCAAATTAAGCTGCAACTCGAACTGTTTGAATGATTCCAACTGAGTCACTCATGTGGCTGCTTTTGCCCATTTTCCATGAATAGCACTGGTTTTTACATCAGAAAATATGTGATGAACCATTTCTGTGAGTCAGTATTGCCCTACAGCAAACTCACCAGCAGTTTGATGCAGGTACTAACATTTTAAGTTGTTTTGATTGGACCGCCAGGTCACGTGGTCCATTTGCACTCCGTCATTGGGTGAGCAGAACCTTTGCAACTGGTTGAATGTTGAGCAAATCCAAAACGTTGCTTCCTGTGAATATCCTGCAATGTTCACTGCTTCAAGCCTCCTTGCTGCCTAGACAAGGCTATAATAGATGGCACGTGCACAAATGCAAGCCTGCAAGAGCAGACCCTTAGAAGTGATGCAATGTGAAGAAACCTTAAGGGCGGGAGGGGCAGAATGAGGAAGGATGAAGATTATGGTGGCTTGGTCACATGATTACATGGCTGGGGTTACAGTTTTAGCAAATGGATGGGTAGTGTGGTAATAATAGACAAGATTGAGCTAAGCCTGTGCCTAACTTTACGCAGGCAAGCAGTTCCTCTGTGTTTCTCAGAAGGAAAATGAGTCACCGCTGTGAGCCAGGAAAAAATTTGCTTGCAGGCTACCGGAGTGACAGGTCTGTGGGTTTTGGCCTAGGCAGCAACACGGTCCCGAGTCAGCTCACGGGGCTTATAGGACGTTCAGTGGTAGAGTCTGAGAGCTAGCTGGCTTCGGTGGTGAGGTCTCACAGACGAGAGCTGCAGAGAGGCATGAACAAATGTGATTTTTCCATCTTGGACATGATGGGTGTGGATAAGGGAAGGATGCATAGAAACTCTGCACTCATTCTCTCACTTACATGGAGCCCACCTTGCTGGACTCTTGGGTTGGTTTGAAGATGAGCATAACTGCTTTGATGGTATCCTTGTCCTTCCTGCTCTCTCTCTGGCTCACTGTAAGTTTTTCTCTTGGGTGCTTTGTGACTGTCCTGAGTGAGAGAGACGTTTTTGTAGACCCTTTTGAACAAATCCACTGACCATCCTTCACCGTACCCTCAGGCTAGGGACAGACATTACACATAAACCGGTTTAAGTAATCAGAAACTGGGTTAAACCTGTAACAGAACAGACGTTCAGTGTACATAAACCAGTTTCAAAATGGCTGAAACTGGTTTGAGAGAAACCTGGTTGAACTGAATGTAGTATCAGACTTAACTGATTTGGGTCAAACTGGTTTTTGTCATGTCTGTCCCAGGCCCCTCTGTTTGGAGCGCTTCAAAGAAACTTGGGGCACTTCAACCAGCATGTCTGTCCATGGCCCCAATTGGTTTTGATACATAGTAAGGATCTGATAGAAAAGTTGGTTATAAAAAAATTAATTTTGGACCAAGCGATTACACGTTGAATCAATTTATACTTCAGAGAATGAAAAAACTCCTGTAACTACGGTGGGGTTTTTTGTTTTTTTTCAAAAGAACAAACTATAACAAATTAAGGAAGTTACTTGTGAAGTCAATTGGATCGGACAGTTCTGAGACCTGAATGTGGAGGGGACTAGGAATCCCCTTGTTAGAGAGGACAGCTTCCCTAAGCTAAAGGACAATGTTGGCAGTTAATGAGTACAATAGGCAATTAATACATTTAGACAGCAAATTCAAATCCATCAGAGCAGTGAAATTGTACAACACCACTCCAGAAAGGGTTTTGGAGCCAAGGAATCTCCCTTGCTTTATAAAGGAACTTCTCATCTTATGGAAAGGTATTCCATGCTGTACTGTCTGAAAAAGCAAAGGTCAGTAGTTGGCAACCGAGGAACCTCCTTCCAGTTTCCTTTTCCAAACTAAAAGCATCTGGACAATTTATATTCCCTCAGCCTCAGTCTCAGCAGCTGTTGAACCATTTTGACCAAAACATTCAGAAGTAATTCAGTCTAAGGTAGATGCTAGGCATGGAAAACTTAAGCTTGAGTGGTTAAACTTTGGCAGCTGTAAGCAATTGAAAACATGGTCTTAGGACAGGAAGCTTTAACAGGCTTGATAATGCCAGGCCTGCCAACCAAGCAGGCATGCAACCCAACCCAAGGTCTCATGCCTCCCCAGCACCTCTCCTTCTCTCTGCAGGTGCCCGTGAAGTGCCATGCATTCAACCAGGGTAAATTAAGCTCTGTGGGTTTTGAGGTTTTCTTATGAGACCAGACTTGATTTGATTCTAGATCCCGGTAGTTTTAATTACATCGAACCCTGTGAGAAGGTAAGCAGCCTTGCCCCTTCCCTGTCCCTGATGCCGTATCTGTTTTCCATTCCCTTTATCGTGGGAGTAGTGATAGGCACAACTGTGCTCTTTCTCCTGCAGTTTTCATCCATCACCCATGCAACATCCACCATCAAGCCGCTAAAAGATCTAGGTGTGCTGCTCTTTGGCTGCATCCACGACAATCTGTATCAAGTGGCTTAGTGCCTTAGGTGAGAACAGTGTTAGGGGTCTTTCCCTGTCTGCAAACCTCCAAGGACCAGAAGAAACATTGTTTGGACTCCAAAATTATCTTTACTCAGGAATTTTACTTACTCTGGGTTGAGTAAATTACTCAGCCCAGAGTAATCTCCTGTCTGCAATGTCCAGTGTCCATGTTTCATGAGCTGATCAAACCTGTTTTTTCCAATACGATGCTAAATGCAAACACTCAGTGCCCTCTTGTGCAAGCTCCCTTCTTGCACAAGGTGTGTGCAGTTCAACAGAGACACTAACTTTCTCCGTTGTTCTCCTGAATGGCACTTGTGTAGTTTCAGTGTTTGTAACCTCAGTAGCTGCCTATCAGATATCTCCTTCTTGGCACATAATTACAGCTGTTTTGTTCCAGCCTGCTGCCTGTCCAGATTATAAACCAAGAGACTCAAGTGCCACTAAGCAAGTCTGTCTGTTCTGCGCCCACAGCAGTTGTTGGAGTTTGTCTAGGTCATAATTGCTTCTACAATCTGTTCCTGTGAAGTTTTCCAGGTAGAAACAGAGGAACCAAGTGCAAAACCGTCCTTTTCATGTTCACACTTATGTCCTGCTTTTCACCGTTGTGTACAGGGTTTCCTTTGGGAGACTAGCTGAGCCCATTGCCTTGGAGAGCTGCTCTATGTTGCTGTAGATGGCATGCTGGTTTGGGGTGGATATTGTCACGGTGGCATAAGCAATCTCTTCTTTCTTTTCTGAATCCTGGGGGGAAAAGCATCATAGGTCGGAGAGGATAAGCAAGGAGAGCATCCCAAGTATCTTTTGGTATAAAAAGGGTCATCGCATAAGAGCTAATTCACACATATGGAACCCACATAAAGTGAGGGAGACCTGGAATAGTAAGTCCCAGGGAGGAACAAATCATCAAGTTCATGGTAGGCAGCTGAAAGTATTAGACTAATTTTATATCAATGGCA